TATGCAGGAAATACGTTGATCGCTATCAGACCATCCTTCACTCTTCTAATCAGAATCAGAACAAAGTAAATAGTAAAGAAGGCAACTTTCTGGAATCTCTGTAGGCTTTTGAATCTCTAGAATCTACCTCAGATTTCCAGTTCGGTGATAACCCTCTCTGCATACATAAGTTCTCTTTGTCAATGACAGCAGAAAGGGACCCACAAGTTGAAGCAATAGGATAGGTGAATATCTTCCAATAATGACGTACCTTGAATCTGACGTACCTTGAATCTCCGTTTGCGTTCGTCATAGAAGTCGTAAATCTTGTTGATAGATCTAAATGATCTTAACATCGTCATAGAAACCAAAGATTTTTCTGGTTAGATTACGGTAAAATGAAAGACTAAAACAACTTTAATGAGAATTTTAGTTTTTAATATTTATTTTTAATTATTAATCCAGTGGCATTAGATTGAAATTATTTAGGAAAAGTCAGGGTCAAATCTTATTTGTACTTCAGTTTTAATAGTTTAGATGGGTCAACCTAAACTAATTGCAAGTAGATAAAAACTGCTTAAAAATAAAAATAAAAATAAAAACTAGAATTTGACCAGCATATAAATGCGGATATATTTTTCATTTTATAAAAACATATATATATATGATATTATCATTAAATATGTGATTTACATTATCGGGTTACATATAGTGTAACTTTATAATCTTATTGTTTAGTTTTTTATTGAACATTGGATACGACTGGTGAACCCGTTTGTGTTGAAAAAGAATCAACTTTAAAATCTATCATTTTAGTAAATTGCGAGATTTCATAAATAAATATATTGTTTTGTTTAATTAAGTTGGCCATATTGTTTTGGTAAAAATTATATATATAGCCTCTATGATATTATTTTAGCTAAGATATCGATATAAGATATTTTGAATGTTATGGTATTAAATTCTCTGACTTTTGTTATTAAATTAAGATTTTAAAATATTATATTTTTTTTTTGTCATCAACATAAACATACTCTAAGTAGACTCTGTGAACCAAACTGATAACTCAGCATCCATATGAACAACATAAGACGACTGCTTCATGGCACTCCGTGCTAGTTTGTCGGCTTTGGTATTGAGCGTTCTTGGGATATGAATGATCTCTGAATGAGTAAAACTTTCACGTAAGAGCTTTATATCGTCCAAATCAGTTGCAAAGGCTGGCCATTCCTCCGGTGCAGAAACCATCTTTACCACTTGAAGACAATCCGTCACAAACGTGACATGAAATTGACGCAAATTCCTCATACTTTCCATGGCCCAGATGAGAGCCTCTATCTCCGCATGCAGAGGGGAGATACTTTTCCTTGTATTCCTTAGTCCCATTAGTTCCCTAAAACCCGGAATGGTACTAGAACATCCCTGGCCCATAAATTTATCATGATCCTTCCAAGACCCGTCGGTAAAACACCACCGACAAGGGAGTTGTGGTAGAGTGGCCTCCCCAGCCGCTTGTGTAGGTGGAGTAGTCTGTGTCATTGAATCTTGGGCTTCCTTCCATAAAAGAGATTCAATCTCTGCCAGCCTCAATGTATCATTGGGATCCACATCAATATTACTGAAGACTTTATTATTCCTTGACTTCCAAATATACCATAAAATCCAAACAAACTGGTGGTTATCCATTTCTGGCCTTACCCTCCAATATAGGTGATCCATATTATTGAAAATAGTGTGAGTGGGAAAAACATCCGGATTTGAAGGGATCTTGGAAAGAGCCCATACTTGTACCGCTGGAGTACATTCAAAAAATCTGTGATTAACCTATTCCTCATTAGCTCCGCATCTCTCACAATGTAAATCTCCTTTTAGGCCCCTACTCCGTAAATTTTTCCGCACGGATATACAATCCGACACTATCTGCCAAATAAAATGTTGCATTTTAGGGGGACATTTAAGCTTCCACGAGTGGGATTTTAATAAAGTTACCGAAGGTCCATATACCACCGGGACTTTATCCTTATCTGGGTATACTCTCTCCACCTGATACCCTGACTTAACTGAATATTTCCCTTTAGTTGTGAAATGCCATCCATCCTGATCGACCAGCCGATACTTACTTAGGGGTATACTCTCTATTAACTTTGCGTCCTTTGATTCCACCAAGCTCCTTATAACCGGTAATTTCCATTTCTGTGTATTAGGAATGATAAGCTGATCTATAGTGAGATGTGGGTCGAAATTTTGTTGATTTGAGTTTGCTGGTCTCGGGCGAGAGGTTGGGAGCCAAGAGTCATTCCATACTGATATAGACGATCCTGATCCCACCCATTTAATTAGTCATTTACTATGCAGAGATCTAGCAGAAACAATACTTCGCCAACCATAAGAAGGCGTGTACGAGCGTACTGGTTCCAGGGGTGATGTATTCCTGAAATACCTACCTTTAAACACTCTAGAAAATAGTGTGTTTGGTCTTTCTATCAAGCTCTAGAATTGTTTACCTAGCATGGCTGAATTAAAATCCAGGAGGTCATTGAATCCTAAAACTCCATCTTCCTTATCTGTACACAATTTATCCCAAGAAATCCAGTGCATACCTCTTGTATTTCCTCACGAGCTCCACCAAAATTGTGACACCGTGCTTGTTAACTTAGAATTAACCTTCTTAGGAATTCTGTAGCAGGACATGACGTGACTTGGTAGCGCTGTTAACACCGACTTAATCACAACTTCCTTTCCACCCTTTGAAAAAAATTAAAGGTCCAGCCATTAACTCTGTTACTCATACGCTCCTGCACAAATCCAAACACTTGGGTCTTTTGGCCTCCCAAACTTTCAGGCAATCCCAGATAAGAACCCATTCCTCCTATATTATGGATTCCCAAAATATTCCTTAACTCCTGTTGTAAATGTTCGTCAATCCTAAACCCAAATTGTATTGAGGACTTCTGAAAGTTTATCGCCTGACCAGACACATTTTATATTCCTTTAGGATCCGGAGAATAGTCTGACACTCCTCCTTTTGTGCTTTGCAGAAGAATAGACTATCATCAGCAAAAAACAAATGTAAAATTGATGGGCACGCTCTAGCCACTGTAATCCCTGTCAATTGTTTATTCCTCTCAGCCTTCTTTATATCCGCTGTGTCGTGTCCCAAACTTATCAACAAGTTTGTTTGCATACTTTTCTTGTGAAAGAAATATGCCTCCATTATCTTGAATTACTTCCATTCTAAGGAAATAGTTCAACAATCCAAGATCCATCATCTCGAACTCTTTCTTCATATTCTCCTTGAATGCGTTGATGATCTTAACATTGTTTCCAGTGATGATTATATCATCCACATATAGACTCACGATCAACACATCTCCTCCTTGCTTCTTGATGTATAAAGCTGCATCATTCATACTTCTTTCAAACCCGTTTTGAAGAAAATATGAATCTATCCTTACATACCATGCCCTTGGGGCTTGCTTTAAACCATATAAAGCCTTGTGTAGCCTTAACACATTTTCTTCCTTTCCTTGCTTCACATATCCATGTGGTTGTGTCAGATACACTTCTTTCTTCAGCTCCCTATTGAGAAATGCTGACTTCACATCCATCTGATACAAACATCACTTCATCTGAGCTGCATATGCAAGTATGGCTCTTATTGTATCATGTCTTGAGACAGGGGCAAACGTCTCAAGGTAGTCAACACCATATGATTGAGAGAATCCTTTTGCTACTAGTCGCGCCTTATGCTTGATGTGATTGCCACTTGCATCAGTCTTGATCTTATAAATCCACTTCACACTTATCACATTCTTCTTCGCTGGCTTGTCTACTAGTTCCCATGTCTTATTCTTCTCAATCATGGTGATTTCTTCATCCATCGCCTTCCTCCATTCCTTTTACCACACGCTTCATCATAAGTGTATGGTTCTTCATGTGCATGAAGACAAGATTCTATTGCTTGAGCTGCCTCTTCAAGCTCTACTCTTGGTGCCTTTTCCATGATCTCAATCATGGAGTTAAACTTCTTTGGTGGCTCAGAATCTTCTTCATCTTCATCACTAGTATCAGGATCATTATTTTGAATGAAAAAAGGACTAGAAATACCTTCGGTTTGTGTTTGTTCCTCAGACAATTGATCGTCTTCCATAGACAACTCGTTAGGCAATTGAGAGTCTTCCATAGACATCTCTAATGTCTTCTTGACTTCTTCTAGCTTTTTCCAGTCCCACTTCTTGCTTTCTTCAAACTCTACATCTCTTGATACTTCAATCTTCTCATTCTCCAGGGTGAGAACTCTATAGCCTTTTGGATTGATTGCTATATCCAATAAAGACTCTAAGCTTTGCCTTGACATCTAACTTCCTTCTCTTCTGATCTGGAACATGTATGTAAAATATGCTTCCAAACATTCTCATGTGTGAAACATCTGGCTTGTGTCCACACCACTTCTCTATAGGAGTGACATCATCTTCTATTTCCTTTGATAGTAGACGATTTTGAAGGTATGAGGCAGTGTATACCGCTTATGCCCATAAATTGAGTGGTAAATCTTGTTCTGCCAACATAGTTCTAGCCATCTCCACCAGGGTCCTATTCATCCGCTCTGCTGCACCATTTTGTTGTGGTGAATAAGGAAGGTAACTTGCTTGTTGATTCTTTCTTCTTCACAAAACCGGTTGAATTCGTGTGAAGTGAACTCACCACCACCATCTGACCTCAATGTCTTGATGGTACAACCCGATTGCTTCTCCACCATTGCTTTGAACTTCTTTAACAATGAGAAGATCTCTGATTTTTGCTTCATGAAATATACCCAATACATGTGAGTATAGTCATCTAAGAATAGCAAAAAATATCGGCTTCCATCAATGGATTGATGCTGCATTGGTCCACATACATCTGTATGTACAATCTCAAGCTTTTTACTTATCTTATTTTGAGATTCCTTTGGGAAGCTTTTGCGTGATTGCTTTCCAAGTCTACACGCCTCACATGCTCCCTTCCTGACCTTAAACTTTGGTAATCCCTTTACCAAGTCTTTGTCTTGCATTTGTTGCAACCTTTTGTCGCCTACATGACCAAGTCTCTTGTGCCATGTCTCCATTTTGCTTTGCTCACTTGCGCTCATGGCTTCTTCTTCCTGAGCCGAACTCATCCTAATTATGTAGCTCTTGTGAGTCATTGGGATATTCATTATCCTCTTTCCTTTTGCATCCTCTATGATGCATCTCTTCTCTTGGAAATTCAACCGGTATCCACTTGAAACAATTTGTGGAACACTCAACAATTTTTTTGCCAAACCCAGAACCAAGAATACATTTCTGATGGTCCTCTTGCCACCATTAGTCATGAC